CACACACACGCACGCACACGCATGCATGCAATAGTTCCACAAGGGGCGAGTGCAAGGCCAGGCAGTGTGTGTTGAACGCCACTCTTCTAACTGTCTCAACCACAATCAAACGCACGTACAGTACTAGTAGTTGAGACAGGACATGTCAATGGAGACACGCACGTACGTCTACGTTCTTTGTTTCATATCACCGAATATGCAACCTGTGTGTGTGTGTGTTCTGGACCAGGCTGAGTGTGCGGACACGCACGTTTGTGTTCGGGCCGAACGCATCCTAATCTCAATACCAAGCAAGCACCGTCCGGCAACACTAATTAAAAAAAAAAAAAAAGGTAAATTATCGTATCCGTTCCCGAAGGGAACTCACGACGGCCGCTAACACCCGATAAACCCTAGCGGCAGATGCAGCGCCTAACGGTGGGGGTGAGTGGGCAAGTCTCACAACCACTGCCTGGCACAAGTGCCGAAAACGACCCCATTAGCTGCATCCATGTACCCCTTGTGCCTGGCCACAAGTTCCCAGTTGACTGTGGGTAGCAGCACGGCTGGAAAAACCGCTCCCAGGCAGGACTTGAACCAGGTACCTCTCGTATCTCAATCATGGTCTTTGACCAACCCACTGTGCCTGCCTGCAACACTTATTCCATACCAGGAATCAGGGTAACATCACCCCTGTAGAGTATACCCTCGGTCCCGGGCCGTAGCACCCGGATTTCAGGTGGTCCAGCCAAACGGGATACTTGCCTGGAAATGAGCATTATCGACGAAAAAGCCCGTTTTGCACGAATTCAGTGGATGGGTCTACTTTTTTCGAGGAAATTCAAGTCGGGCCATGGACGCACAGGCTACAGAGGGTGTTACGGCTAGGGTCCGACGGATTCTGCCGGCAGAAAAATTGGCAGAGTTTGGTACTTTTTCTGGTAAGTTTCATGCATATTTGGTATGTGGATAAAGAAATGGAGCAGAATTCGAGGAATTGCCCGCCATAAGGTTTGTATGGTTCTGCCAATTTCACTGCTTTTCGAGCAGAATCTGCCACCTTTTCGAGCAGAATCCGCCGGTCCTTAGTTACGGCTCAGCATAGTACAGCCTGTAATGCCCAACATTCATTTTCATACAAACAAAAATTAATCGGAATGTAACATTTTAAAATTATTTTGCTTCCGGCACTGGAGGGTGGAAGGGGGTCACGGAATGTGCTTCATGTACCCCGGTGCGCCTCTGGCTCAGCGTGGACAATACCGTAGATCTACGTCCCACTCCTCTTTCCTGGTACCGGTACCGGTACGGCGGTAGCGATAGCTGGACTGCATGCGTGCCTCGATCTGTGACCGTTCAGTACCCAACACCCCCATGTAAAATGCATTGTGATTTCGTGCCCACTGACACCACCAAGACTGAGGATAGAGGAGAAAACAAAATTTAGAATGCTACAGTACAAGACAAACATCTGTTCCGTGTTCAAGTTGTAGTTGACGGCGGAAACACACGCCTGTACAATGATGCTACATGCGACAATCAAACCGACGAGCATGCGATCCTACACAATATCTCCATAGGAGCATGCCAGCACACGCGATCGACGTCGTGTTTTTAGCTTACAAGTTTGCGATTCCGGCTCGCTTGACGGCGGACGCGATGGCTTTGACCGCTGTCATCAGCTGGTTGAGCAGAAGGGTCAGCGAGCCAGTGGCACCGGGACACGAGCGCTGCTGGTCGATCAGGAAGCGCGTTATCGTCATGCAATCAGAGTCGACACCGTTGTCCGACGCCATCCTGAATGAACGTAGTCCGTTTTGCTCAAAGCCACGTTACGGGAGCGCTAATCTTGCAAACACAAAGAACGGACAACTAAGAACCAAAGATCCAGGAGCGGAAAGATAACACAGCGTCCAAGCACCACGCTTGGTCATATCCGCGTGCACAGGCACTCAGCTCAGCCTCCAGGGCCGGCTGTATGTAGTGTAGCGCATACCGGAGATTTTGATCGACTGTCCAGCGACCGGAAGTCCACACTCCTCCAAAGTACTTCCAGATAGCGCTAGCTCTTGACTTGACCGGAGTCTTGTTTTCACTTGATCACTTTCTCAGTGACACTGGCATGGCACTGCTTGGGTAAAAAAACCTGGATGACACCTACACAGTCACTGCATATCGCACGTAGTCGTAGATCTACGGACACTGGCAGCACTGGTGTGTGACTGAGCAGGGCTGAGCTACGTGGGCATATTTTCAGTACAGTATTCGTTTTTATGGTATTATTCATTTTACCACTTCCGCATGACACACGTGTACGGACATGTAGGTGGTAGTCGACAGTCGAGTCGTACATCTGTAGCGGTAGTTCTGGTTGTGGACCTCCAATCAAGGATCAGTTAAAAGATCAAGCTCACACCAAGACTGGGCAAGAGTACAATGTATACAAGCCAAGATTGAGCGGGTTGAGTGTGTGAGTCTTTGCTCTCTTGCCTAACGCTTCCCA